TGACTTCTCGTCTACGGCGTATCCTTCTCGTGTGTCCTCACCCCGCGCCAGGCGCTCCTTTGGCGTGAAAGACAGCATGCGTCTCTCTCGGATGTCCCAAGAAGAGACACTGCCGTTGATCTGTTGGACAACAAGTCCAGAACATGAACGTCAACACCTTGCGGTGTGGTTCAACGGGGCCTACGTGCCTACGTACGTAGCCTCAAGTTCATCCTCTCATAACCCAGCCGACGAATTGGCGGTGATGTAGACACCACCTCACCTCACTTCACCTTGTAAAACCAGGCGACCCTCGTGCAAACAAGCTCGCAGCTCAGTGGCTCGTTTCGCTTTACCCAGCAGTTCGGCGCATTTTATGAGTACTGGTGTCACGCCAACACGGCGGCACCCTCCCGCTCTGCAGTGCTGCACCAAGCCGCCCGGCGGAAACGTCAGCCGGAACTGTTGGCGAGGCATGTGCCGCGGCCGGCCACCTACACGGGTAGGTATCAAGATTCGGGTCGTCTCTCTCTTCTCTGACAAGACCTCTACAGAAGGAATATGTCGTTTGTCTGACCCCAGCCGTCGCGTCCCGATGGAGCTATCTGGCGGGGTTGGCTCAAACGGTCTCACCTTCACGCTCAATTGGCTATGCTAGCTAATCAACATGACGCCTGGTGCAACTTGAAGATGTATCCCAAGCATTCCAAAATCCCATCCCCCATCCCATTCCCCCTTCTTAGTGCCCACAGCAACCCCACGGGTACCTGAGGTGTTCGTCGGGACTCACTAGTCAGCCCTACTGCGATCATGTACAGCTCTGTATCTCACGCGCGTGTGTGTTATTTTATCTTCCCCCCTTGTTGTTTCTTATCTTTCTTCGTCACCACAGAAGGAGCAGTGAACGAACGGGGTGGACCGTCGCAAGCCGCTGGCCTGACCGGTCCGGTCAGGGGGGTGGTTTGCCGGTGGCTGGCAGGAGAGCGGTGAGCAAAACCTCCGTCGCGTTTCCGCTCACCTTTTTCCCAGCAGTCGCCTCCCGTGGCGAACTCGGTTGATAGAAAGAGATTTCGACGCTTGATAATCGGGATTTTGTGATTCGGTGTGCTTTGGATACCTACAGTCTCAGCACGTGGCGAGCCAAGAGTTACTTCAGGGTGGTGAAGCGGGCGGCCATTGCATATGTTATTCCATCTCTCAGGTACATAATGCCTGTCTCATCTTTATATCAGTTCTCATGGTGCCATGTCGCCATGTCGCCATGCACGCGAGAACAGAGAGCGCTGCTGGTTGGGTTCGGCTAAAGCTTAGCCTGTTCGTCGCATTGTCTCTATCTCCCACTCTTATCACTTGTGAGCCTCTACTTGGTTGTTGACTTCTGGATAGTAATGCTCTCGGGTGATCGCGGCTTCTTCTTACTCCTCTCGTAGAGAGATATGACGAAGGAGGGATCAGGAACGTGTAATGTATCTCAATAGTGTGTAGCAGCGCACGAACGACTCGTTCAGAGGGCTGCCAGCCTGCCTTACACCCGGCTGGAGCTGAGGTGAGACCTTGTGGTTTTGGTAAACTTTGTGGGTGGTGTGCTGAGACAGTGTGAGTCGTCTCTGAGTTCTGAGTGAGTGAGGTGAGGTGAAGGTGAAGGTGAAGGTGCCGTACATTCCTTCATTCTCAGCCGCATCGAGTGCGGCTGGTGTGGTCGTCATTGCTACGGGGCAGGAAAGGTTTCGAAGTCGACACCACGCACCCCCCTTTTTGGACTGTGGACTCTGTCTTTTTTTTTTTCTCTCTCTCTCTATGTGCTGCTAAGGGATATTAGGCTATCAGAGTTGGACTTTCGTGGAGACTTTATCCTCTTTTTCCCCCTCGATGTGCGTGAAAACAAAGTCGAAAATTGTAAGCGTTCGTGGGAGAGGGGTTTGTGGTTGGCGTTGGTACCTTGCTTGAATAGCCCGGCTGGGTTGTGATCAGTGCAATATATTTCTTGATAGTCTCGGAAGAATAGAAGTGGATAACGAGTTTACCTCATTCAAATTGAAGAAAGGGCAGAGCCACCCCTCATATCGTAGATACTAGATCTTGATATTTCCACTTGGTATTTATACGACACCCAGCTGTCTGAAAGGTAGATGGTGGACAAACAATCTGAGCTTATGTTTTTCGTCCTTGATACTGAAAGAGATATTCCTTTAGCTGTTAATAGTCTCTTTCACGTATATGCCGAAATGGACATGACTGATGGACAGGAAGAACAAACTTACAGGAATTCTAAAGGCTAGGAGGTACGCGATGGCTTAATGTACTACGTCAGAGTTAGCATTATTCATGGACCAATATGCCAGGTATATTATACCCATCTAGCTATATGACTACAAGAAGACTGTTCTACCCTTGTCAGATATATGATAGCTTTATAGCCCGTTTGTTTACAAACGCAAGTCGAGGCCATGGATCTTATAGACTTTATTGAAGGGGACGTTCCAAGATGAGACTCCCATAGTCCGTACAGAATGTTGTATCTCCCGCGGGAATGATACTAAAGTCTGTCATCGTGCTATCATCTATAGCAATCTGGAGATGCTGGTAAGTGTTTTGACTGCTCGGGGGTTCTCGGGGCTCGCCTCTGGAAGTTCCCATATGGAAAGCTCGGTCAGTTGCAAGAAACCAGAACTCAGTGCTTTGCCGTCTTGCCCGCTAGTCGTGACTAAATTTGCCATTGTTGTTCATTTTGAGGTCTACATGTCCGACACCATCAACTGTGAATCTTAGGTCCTGGCGAACCCCTTGACAGAGAGGAACCCCGCTGGTCTGGCTCGCATCTAGTGGTATATTCCCTAATGTTGCCTGTCTACCAGGCCAGACCCGTCAGGTATTGCCTCGTGCTTGATAAGCCAGGAGTCACGGCCACAGAATAGCAGTTGTAGAACTGAAAGCCAATGGTGCCTTCCACATGAACTTTTTTCGTGATCTCAAACGCATCTACATACATATCTGATTCCGACTTTGTTGCTGATCATATTCAGCCATTGCTAAGCCGTAGGAGCTTGAAAGCTCTTAGAAAAGTCCTCTTCAACCCTTGGAGAGTTCACAGAGGCGTTCCAGTATCCTCGAATACTAGACTAGTCAACTCTGACCCTGGCGCTAGCGGCGTCCTTTTTAGGTAGTGTGAGGTTGAAACCAAGAGTCAAAGCGAGGACGTTAGATGTGACGTTCTTTCTTGAGAGACCGACGGGTTTACTATTATCTCGCCGGACAAAAAATGGCTTTGAATGACTGCAACTCAATGATTGCTTGGTGTCATTCGGCCTGTCTGGATGGATGGGGATCGTGAGGGGACTGGGTTTGTTTGTCTATTTCTTCAACAAAGCTATAATATGAGAATACCCCGTTAAGGGAATGAAGCCATCGTCTGTCTTGTCCTGATCTGCCTCTTCCGCATCAGCTTCCACTCCCAGGTTGACAAGATCGTAAGTGGGTCTTGTCATATTGAGAGCACCGTCCATCCAGGGCAAGTTGGTTTGTGAGGCTACTTTATTGGCGATGGTATTGCTGCTGTGTCGAATGCCATGAGGCCGCAAGGCATCGGGATAATGCAGTTGACTTGGGCTTACATCCCTTTTAAGTCTTAAGTGTCGGAGATATCAGTATGAAGATGGGGTCGTAAGTGTCACGATGTAGCCTTGACTGCTCGCGCTAATGATTGCGTGAAGCTCTGTAAAAGAAATGGGATGGCATGTTCAAGATAGCGCTGCCGCGTTGGAATCGTGTCGCAAAGTTAGGATGCTGCAGGTCCTGGAGCGTCGAAAGCGTTGGAGCGAAATCAACGATGATTGATCGAGAAACCTGGGCTAAAAGCGTCCCCAAAGATGCCATCATTCTCTTATTATAGCGAAACTCTTAACCCAATCACCATAAGCCCTTCTCCAGAGGCACATCTCATCTGTGGCGGGCTTATTTGGCAACGCAAGAACTGGAAGTCGACATGGCATGTTGCTGCTCTGGACAGACCCTTGTGATCCGTTGGTGACACCCCAGGCCTTGATAGACGGAGAAGGGTGGACATCGCCAGTGGACGTATGTGATACTTGGCAGTGAGCATAACGGGAGATGAATAAATAGTTCCTAACGAAGTCACCAGGACCGGCGGGGGTGTGAGAACTTTGCCTTATTCTCGTTTCAAACTTGAAGGCCACGACTCGATCTCATCTCCAACGTCGATATTGTAAATCTCTAGGACTCTATATATTCATCTGAGAAACGCATAGTGCCTGCTTAGCTAAGAGACCAGACCTGATGAGGGATTAGAGTCGACAAATATGGTCCAGGGCAAATGCGGCTACCATATGGGGCGGAAGCGTGGCTGGCTGGTAGTGTACCCGATTGTGAATCTTCAGAACTAACACCCAACTTCCCTGGGCATCACCACGAGTGGGTCGGTAGGCTCAAGCCTGCGCATGGTTATCACATTGGTTCGTGGCTATCCGCGATTTTCTGCCTCGTACCTGTACACATACTTGCTTAGACTAAGTCTCAGAAACTGGACTCGTAGCTAAAATGTCATGTGAAGCATTGTTTTGTGCTCGCGACTTCTTGAGACTTCTTGGTTGGCAAATGTAATAGTTTATACCCAATTGAAGGGGGGCAAGAAAGGTGTAAGTTGATTTGTCGAGGCATGAGGCGAGGTACACTGAGGTATATTGACCCAAGGTACCAACTCGATTGGACCATTCCCCTGGAGGTTCTCCCGACTCCGCTACACCCGCCCGGAGCAATGACCCCAGGGAGCAGCAGTGAAAATACAAAAGTAAGTAAAGTACGGATACCAACTGATACAATCACAGTATTAGCGCAACTTGACTAGGATCCTGCGGTTCGCTCCAACATACATTTACACATGGGACCCTGAGTGGATTGTGTACTTAACAGACAGAAAGCCCCCAAAGTGCAAGGCTCATGGCCATCAGCCAACAAGCAGATACCGCAATATCTCGTGCAGACCTCGCATGTACATTCTGCCTTCTATGGCAACCTCTCAGCCCGGCCTACTCTCTACGGGGTCTCCATATGTCACTGACTTCATCGCCACCTCACCCTTTGAGATTTCCGCCCTCGTCCTCTCACACCTTGGCAACTGCGACCTCAAAGCCCTGCGTTTGACCTGCAACAAATTAGCCAACCATGTCCGTCCTCATCTTCGGTTCAAGCGTGTTTTCATATCCGCTAGTCCCCTAGATGTCCGGGTCTTTCGCGCCATTGCAGAAGACGACACCTTCCACCGTGATGTCCGCGAGATCATCTGGAACGATGCTCGCTACGAAACAACACCGCCTCCAGATACTAGGCTGCGGCACTTGCACGAAGACTTGTGTGATTCCGACGACGAGGACGATAGGGATGGAGAAGACGACCGGCCAGAGAAGCCCCCGCATGGCGTTCCTCTTTGGTACTTCAGACACTGCAAAGACAATATCGAGTACTTGAAACTTAGACAAGAAAGACTATGATGCTGAGACTCTGCCCCAGCATCTCGAGACTGCGAAACAGCTCGAGACCCAGCTGCCTCTCGACGTCGTCTACGCTCACTATCAGGAACTACTCGCAGAACAGAACAAAGTGCTTTCTACGTCGGCCGATGTAGCCGCACTGAATGAGCTTTGGAGGACGATAGGTTCCCAAACCTAAAGAGAATTACCTTGACACCCGCAGCACACGGCATTCTTTTCCATTCGCTATATCCGACACCCGCTATTCGTGCTCTACCCTAAGGTCTCAACTACCCGCTTCCTCGTGGCTGGCCAGTCCCTCCCAAAGACGGAGATAAAGCGATGTACGGGGACTGGGAGAGCGAGGAGTACAAAGAATATCGGCGAGGGTTCCGCCATGTCGTCAGAATCCTTGCTTGGCAGAAAAGCACAAAAACCAAGGAGCTCATTTTTGATGGCAACCAGATCTGGTCCGGTCTGCCCTGTAGCCTATTTTACGCTCCGGAGCCGTGCGTCGAGTATGACAACCTCGTCGCCGTGATCAAGAAGCCAGGCTTCACAACTCTCAGGCTGAGCCTCATCGTAGGCGGGCAGGAAACCAACAATTATCTCGCTTTCCGTAACGGGGCGTCTGAGAAAAGCTCTAGAGGCGGACTTGCGACACTTCTCTCTCGAAACTGGCGAGGACGACGATCTCGAAAACGGGGAATTATCCTTTGCATTGGTCGGTGAGAGATCACTTCATCCCTCTGCGATCCGTCTTCCCTGTCGAAGCATGGAGGAATTTGGCGCATTTCGGGCTGACGCGCTGGCTTGTGAGGCAGTCGGACCCGCTCGACTTCCTTGCCGCGCTCCCGCAAACTCTACGCTCTGTGGAACTAAGCTTCCTCTCGTTCATAAAAGGCCATGGCGACTACAGAGAGCTGCCTATTTGCGATTCGTGATACGCTGGGATGGCAGGAGCGAACACCCAGTGCAAGATCTCGTCTGCTTATCCGAGACTTTCCCGGTGTCCCGTTAGCTGGGCGAGCTGTTTGGGTGGAGGACGCGTTGCAGAGATTCTTATACGATGATGGCGAGAACCCGTATCCGATACCCCCGCGCAATGCCGTGGGTACGGGCCAAACCATCACTTGGGGCCCTGGCATTTTGACGGTGAGCCATGGTTTCGGAATGGAGAAGGACGTGTTGGAGCCGCGATTTGAACGACCTGACGAGTCGGCGGATAAGCTTAGTGAAATGAGGATCTCCAGGAATTGGAAGGGGGCCTTTTAGATTACTTGGATTCGGCGGCGATACCGGACGGGTTGAATATGAAAGTTTGATAGAAATTGAAGGGATCGAGAATAAACAAGGTGCGGGACCACTGGGAATATGGCTGAAAACTATCCTTACCTGGTGAAATGGAATCTTCTTCTGAAGCTTGTTGAAGGAACAAGCCAGATGGGCGTGTAAGTGAGAAAAATATAATTGTATGGAAGGCAAGAGGGTCGAGACTCTGCACCAAAAATCAGCGTAGGCAAGAGAAGCGGCGCATTTCCATCACTGGGGCTATAGAGACGGATATCTCTGACAACACCCTTCGTCATGAGACTCGTTGACAGAGCTGTTTAGGTACCTTAGATTTATCCGTACTAGGAGATACCATGCAAGATAAATGACCATCTTCACTGGGGTCTCATTTGTTTGACGGTTAAATCAATACTTTTCACTTGGAATCGAATAGCCTTCCACGCTAGACATCTGATCATCCCAGCAGGGCGGCAATGGGCAACCGTATCAACCTACAACTTCATCCATAGACGCACAAATTCCCCAAATTTCTCTCAATATTCCGACTTCCCAGTGATAACTTCGCTTCTGAAAGGCCTCCGTCATCAGTGCCTAAAATCCGACCTATTCATCGTAGTCACATCAATAGTCGACTCCATCGCCGCAGGCCCATACGCCCCGCCCTCCATCGAAGCCAACATCTTCCTCATCGGCGTGCCATCCTGCCCTTCCGGACCCCTCAAATTCACCGCCTCGGCAAACATGCGCAGCTGCATCGGGAACCGCGGGTCGCCATACCGCTCAATGATATCAGCCTTCGTCACAGCGGACCCCAAATCGTAATAATCATCCTCCTCCGCCCCGCCCACGCGCTCGCACGCCGCCTGCTTCTCCGTGCTCTACCACGCCGGCAACAACCCCTTACGCTTCGCAGATTTGTTCAAAAACCGCCGGAACCCCTCCAGTCCATCGTCCGCGCCGCCGTAGATGTTGTACTCGTCCTCGACGTGCAGGCGGTAGACGTCCTTCTCGGGCCGGTCGTGGAGCCAGGTGCCATTGTCGAGTCGCATAAAGGGCCGCGTGATGGGCTGGTCTAGGCCCTTTGGCGGGGACAGCGCGGTGCCGGCGGATGCGGGGTTGCCGCCGGCGCCGGTGGGACCACCTCGGGGTTGTGCGGAGGCGTCGGTCAGGCCGCACGTCTTTTTGTGGGATTTCCAGTCGGCTTTTTGGCAGTCGCGGGAGCAGTACGGTGTCGTGTCGCAATTTGCGCAGTTTTTAGGTTGACCTGGGGCGGGCCTTTTTTACAGACTGTGCAAGACGATATGTTTGTTTAGGAGGGGCTTGAGAGGTTGAATGTTGGGGGATTAGGTGCCTGGAAAGAAATCAAGATGATGTTGGCTGTTGTCGATTGACGAACGGCAGTTGGCCAATATACCCAAGTAAGTATCCAGGTATCTGCCCCCCTGAAGCCGCCCCGCTTGAACTGAGGTACCTTACCTTACATGCACGTGCCTGGTTACCTTACCATTTTGGCTATATCACGTGAAAACACATAGTCAACTGATGGAATTGAAGGAAGGGCGTTGTGAGTGTTCGAATGGCAGGTGGAAGTTGAATGTTGCACATAGGAAGAGGAGGATGGACTAGATTGTGGAGAAACTAGGAAAAGGAACTGATCGCAGTTGGGTGTTGGTGGCAATCCTTCAAGGACAAGTGATATGCGACACGGGATAGGTAAGCAACTCATACTAGTAGCTATTACGTGCAGTGCAGATCAAGAGGAATGACATGCTTGTTTACTTAGGTTACCTCTAGCGTCTCTAAAGACAGCCCCCGATTAATTCACAGTGAACCTCGTTGCGGGTGTTGGAATGTTGAATCAGTGATCAATTCTGTCTCTCATAGTGGCCACGAACAGGTATCATATTCAAAAGGAAATGTATCCAGGCAGTAGAAGCTGTCTCCATGCCTGTCCGTTAAACGCCAGGCCGTATGCCTCCTTAGCCACTCACATCTCGTCTCGCTCCCCAACGCTCTCAACTCTCCTCAGTTTCCTCCGCAGTCTTGGCCTTCGAAGCACCAGTCATGCTATGAACCAAATCAGCGAACCGGCCCTTAGAAGCAGCCAGGTTCGTATCGGCCTTTGGCGTCCCCACGGGCGTAGCACCCGCCGACGTACCCTCCACGACATTGGCGACCTCCTTGTAATGCTCGCGGTCCTTGACGAAGCGAGTCAGGTACATGGTCTTCTGCCGCGTCTGCTTCCTCATGATGCGCTCCACCTCGGCCTCGTACGCCTTGTCGTAGATATTGAAGTCGACGTTGGTCGGCGACTCGGCCACGGCGCCGGCCGAGGGCTCGTCCTTGTCGAACTCATCCCGGGACCCGATGCCGATGCCGAGGATGCGGGGTTCCGAGTCGGACCTCTCGGGGGGTGCGGTCTTGGTTACGTCGGCGAGGCTGTTCTTCTTGAGGAAATCGCGGCGTTTCGAGAGGAGGACTTCAATGTCCTCGTGCAGTGCGCCCAGGCGGGGGGAGTCTGTCTGGGAACCTTCGCGTGATTTGGCGATTCTTTGCCTTGTGAGAATGTTCTTGAACTTATGGATTGCTTTCATCTGTTGTGGCCGTTAGTTTCTTTGTATCGTGGTAACAAACATGAGGTGCGCTGCTCACCACGCAGAGGAGATGATTCATCTTCCGCGTAAAGGCGCGGTTGATCTCAAGCTCGTTTGGGGGCTCGACGAGGTTTGAGCAGTTTTCTTCCTTTGATAGCAGAAGATCTGTCCCCTGTTTCGTAACCCACGGATGGTCCTGGTTCATGATCAGCAAACAAAAAACCCAGCGCTACGGAGGAAGAACTGGTGCTCACCCTCAACTCATGCATCTGGATACGTTTCTGGGGATCCTTTTCCAATATCCTGCTGATGAGGTCCACAAAGTCGGGATTCTCATCCTCGGGAAGCTCAGGGGAATCTGTCTTGATAGCTTCGTACATCTCAAGCACACCCTCTTGCTCAAATGGAATTTTGCCATATCGTAGACAGTACAGCGATATACCCATGGACCAGATATCCGTAGCCTTGCCATCAACGTCGCCATGTCGGACCACGCAGAGCTCGGGTGCAAGGAATGCCGGGGATCCTGCCGATTTGGCCGTCTTCATGGGGTCTCCCGGCTTCTCAAACATCTCGGAGACACCAAAGTCTACAATCTTGAGCACATCATCGTCGGTAAGGAGAAGATTGTCCGGCTTAATATCCCGGTGAATGACGCCTTGCTCATGTACTAGACGGTGTTAGCCTGGTTGGCCAGAGTATACGTAGCAGCCGACTTACAGTATTCGATGCCTAGAATCAAGTCTCTGAACCAATAACGACAAGAATCTTCGCCATATGGCTTCGCCTTTTCGTTAAGCCCGACCTTCATTACAACTCCTTTCTTGCACATCTCAAGGACCATGTACAGTGAGTCCTCTTCTGGGTCGTCCAGCACTTCTATCAGCTGGACCAGGTTCGGATGGTTCAGCTTCTTCATGATGGCAATCTCCTCTCTGATAAAGAACAGGGCATCGTTGACGTTCCAACCAGCGTTGCCCTCCTCGCCAAAATGTGGTGATAGCGGTGCGTTGAGACTAACACGGGGGGCGAAGCGCTGGGGTCGGCGAGCGCCCTGTCGCAGAATGTTGGACTGCGCGCGTTTACGGAGCCGGACTTTGGAGAACTCCTTGACGGCCTACGGATGGACGTGAGCAAGGGAATGGTTCATCGCTTGGAAGCTTGGGAGGCTCATACGTATTCGGTGCCAAATTGGTCGGTCGCGAGGTGGACAGCACCGTAGGACCCCCTGCCAATTTCCTCTTTAATGACATACTGGTTGATGCGGTGGTGACTTGAGCCATCCTGTGCCTCGGTGCCATATTCCGTCACGGCGTTGAGCGTTTCCTACAGCAGTTTGTCGGTGAGTCTCTCTGGATCATTGCTCCGGTTCGTCGTCATCGCAGCTACCCCGCCCCCACCAAGCACAACCAGCAGTAGCGGGGCAGTTTAACAGCTGGGCTTTGAACGAAACCTAGCGGAATAAACCACACTCACCTTAACTTCACGGTGAGCTGAAGGCGTTCGACGGTGATGCCTCATGGGGCTCTGAAACTTTGATGGTTGGGCAGCCGAATCGGATCTGTACCGCGTAGGGCGAGCAGGAGGTTAGAGCAGCTCGCCGCGCAGTGGTGGAGCGCGCGGGGGAGGCAGTGCAAAGTTGCAGCGCAGCGCAGAGAAGCAAAGTGAGTAGTGTAGTGACTGACGTACATGGGGGCGAGCGACGGGCGAGTCTCGGCGGGCCCTTCACCGTGAAACCCTACCGCGATGGTGGGTGAGGACATGCTTGAGGTAGCGAGGGTCGTCGAGGCCATGGCCGTCGTCGGCGGGCTCTGAGGTTCGCCGGAATCCGTCATGGCTTCGCCTTGCGCAAGGCTGGGGAGTTGTAGATGGAAAGGTGTGTTGTAAGCTTGACGTGATGTTGGAGGAGGAGCAATGTTGGAGAGGTGAAATCCGGGTGAGGTGAGAGTGAGAGCGAAGTAAGAGTGAGAGTGTGAGTGAGAGAGCTAGCTACAATGCTCTGCCTATGCTGATTCGGAGCTTTGCTATTCAGAATGGCCGAGCTAACAGAGCACCCCAAAACGTAAGGCAATACTAGGTAGGTATGACGGATAGGCGCGAACGACCGGATGAGCGAGCGATGGAGCTGGCGACGTTTTGAACCTGGAAGCGCGCGTGTGAGGTGAAAAAAAGCGAAAGCGACGTCAAAAGAAAGGGAGCCATAAGCAAGGGCACTAGAATTCGCGAAAACGAGACGACAGCTGAGCTTTAAAACCCGACCGAAAGGAAACTGGGCCGGGGGGTGGGAAGAGAGAAAGAAGTACTTTGTATTCGAAGGTAAGGAAAAAATAGGCGTTTCTCCTTCAGCTCTTCAGGCTCAGAGTGAGCCCCCTTCCAGCCCCCACGTCTGTTATTTTCCCCCAAGGATCACCTCGCAGTCTCCAGTGTTCTCAACGCCCTACGAAAAGCCCAGGCTCCGTCTTATCCATTTTCACGGCTCCTCATATCCATGCCCAGCATTGTTGCCTGTTGTCATTGGGCGCATCGTAGAGTTCTCATCATGGGCTGACTAGTGTGCTCCCCTCGTAGGGCCAGCTCCGAACCCCTCCTTGCGCCAAAGAATTACGTTCCGTCCGGGGGGTCCACCACAAGGCAGAGTGACACCCCTGCCCGTACATACCTGCCTAGCATCTGTACCTTACGCAACCGGACCAGCTCCAGCTCATAGTTACAATTTCAAAGGTCCACCGAGGTACCTGCCGACCGAGACAAGCAACGGTAGCCGCATTTCGGGGCTGGGGCCACTGAACGGCCGACCACACTCAATCGTCCCGCCTAAGCTGGCAGCTACCTTACCTTCATGAACATCTTGCGACTTTCAACCCGTGATACCCAACGACACCGACAATTAGCGAATTCATTGCCGACCCCGAAGACGACCAGATCCGAATCCCGGATTCTTTAGATATAGAAGCAATCCGCAATCTAGGCATCCTGCACATCTCCACGGCATGCGCCCCTAAACGACCACCATCCCTTTCCGCCTCGCCTCGTCGACCAACGACACCGAAACCCGGCGCAAACACGCGCAACCCCGCGCCGCCGGCTCCGTCGCGGCCGTCCCCTAGCCCAACATGGTCGTCTACTCCTTCTATATCTTCGACCGCCACACGGAATGCATCTACTCGAAAACCTGGCTCCCCGCCGAGCGGCCCCCGTCCCAACAACCTCCCTCGTCAGCCGGAACGGGCGCCGCACCGCCATCATCACAGCAGCTCGGCCGCCGCAGCCAGGTGAACTCGGCCAAGGACGACGCCAAACTCATCTTTGGCACTGTATTTTCGCTGCGCAACATGGTCCGCAAGCTCGGCGGGGACGACGACGCCTTCATCAGCTACCGCACGTCGGCCTACAAGCTCCACTACTACGAGACGCCCTCGAACCTGCGCTTCGTCATGCTTACTGATACGGCGACGCTGAGTATGCGGAATGTGCTACATCAGATTTATATTAACCTTTGGGTTGAATATGGTATGGTTACAATTCATCCCTCTGGAGTTTCCTCTTTTTTTTCTTTTTCTTTTTTGGCAATAGATCATGATGTACTGACCTCTTTTACAGTCGTCAAGAACCCCCTAGCACCGGCCGAACACAAGGGGGGCGAAGGCGTTAAGAATGAGCTCTTTGAGTTAGGCCTGGATCAGTTCGTTAGGGGCCTGATGTGAAGTCACACTCGACAGCCGGGTTGAAAAGAAACAAAAGAGCAAGGAAACACCAAACCCAGGAAAGAACGATACGTGAGTGGGAGCCCTTCGAACTGGGTTCGAACTGGGGAGGGGAAAGGGGGAAAATCCCAACAACCCAATACGGGAGAAATCGATGTGGAACCGCGACGACTTTTGCCAGGTTGGCATCATTGAACAAAAGTGTTCAACGGAGGCATTGTAGGCCCTCAAACCGATTACGTACTTGACGTATGAAGAAGGTCCCATCACAAACATAGATCAAGAAAAGAGGCACACCAGAACGACTGGACGGCCCTTCAAGAACAACAAATCATCAGGAGAATCGCGGGCCGAGCGAAATGGATCAAAGGAATGGATGGAGGCTGCGCCATCTCTGGTTCTAGGCTTAGCCTCCGTACTTTATTGGTACAGATTTGAGAGATGAACCATTTATCTCTTGACCATAGATTATACAATGATACCTATATTTCCAACTCCCCTTGCCTTGCCTTCCCAACTGTCCTCTCCGTTACCCGTGAATATCATTAAAAATGTCATAGCTCGGCTCACACACCTCGAGAATACACATCAATCGAGGTCTGGCCCACATATACATGTTATATCTCTCTATTTTGGATGGAAGGCCTACTTGCTGTCCACCGCCCTCCCCCATGCGCTCTCAAAGCCAGACTGCGGGTTCACCATCACGAGGCTCTCCTCTCCGGTTCCCTGCATCATCCCCTGCGTCTGACTGGGGAAAGTCGCAGCAGTACCCTGGCTGGCGCGAGGCACCTCGCTAGCCCTCACGTCAACGGCGCTCGCCATGATGCCCTCGTCGTCGTGGTGGATCTCATTCTCCCAGTTGCTCGAGTACACCACGGCTGCGAAGCCCTCGAGGTCGGCGACCTGCTCCATCTCCTGTAGGTACTCGTTTGGCATCCCGTTGCCAATGATGTGGGCTTGCCTTGTGAGAACCGAGAGGATCTTGGGCAGGAGTACCACCACCTGCGACGTGCGCGGCTCCGACTCGGCGAGGTCCGGCTTATCAAAGGCCGCCGATGAGAGCTTCTTGTCCACAAGCAGGGAGAAGCCAGCATCGAGGATGAGTGTGAGCACGTGCGTGAAGGAGGGCGACTCGATAAGATCCGACGTCTCGTCGAGCAGCCTTCTCACGGCGGGCGACGATGACGGCGAAGACTGGGACGTGGCGCTCTCGGACAGCATCACGGTGCTCTCCTCCAGAATGCCCGACTCGCGGAGGACGTGATCCTCCTTGTCCCGCGGTGGGAGGAGGTAGGGCAGCCACTTTGCGGCCCTGCGCTCCTCGGGCGTGGCGCCCTCGACAGCCTTGCGCACCGCGAGCGTCAGCTCCGAGAACTGCTCGAAGCTGAGCAGGTCGCGCGGGCTCAGGTGGCCAAAGACCTGGCGGATGGCGGCTTCGACGCGCTGGCCGAGCTCCTTCCACCCCTCGTTCAGGAGCCACCAGCTAAAGGTTAGGTAGCGGCGGTTCGTCTCAAAGTCGTTGCCGTAGGGCTGGTCGAGGCCGTCGTCGTCGTTGTTTTCCAGACTGATAGTCGCTTGGGCCGCGCCGGTCGCCAGGGAAATGACACTCGAGAGGTAGCTACGGCGGCCAAGGAGGTTGAGTTGGACTCTTGTTAGCATCGTCAGCAACGCGAGGGTATATAATAGCGTGAAAGCTCTTGTTATAGCTGCGATGTCAATGTCAGTATCTTGCCCCCTCTCTCGTCTGCTCTATCGCATCAAATAGGTGTCACTCACAGCTGATGGTCAGATCATCCCACAACTGCCTCTTCGACTTCCGGCTCTTCTGCGCTGCCGCCCCGCCATCTTGCTGCGCACCCTCGGCGGCTCCTCCCGCGGCAGCCGACGTCGGGGCCGGTACCGTCATTTGGCTCGCATGCACGCCGCTCTCGCTCTGCACACTGCTGCTGACCATGCTCCGTCCGTCGTCTTCGGTCATGGTGGTATCTGCGATGCTCGGCGGGCTGCCGCTACCGCTCTTGAGGCTCTTGGTCTGGCCCTTCATCTTCTGGATCTCGTAGGTGATCTTCTCGGTGTTCATGGCCTCGAGTATATTCGTCGTCGCTGAGGGAAGGAGTGCGAGCACGGTAAAGGTGCAGTCTTCTTGGTTTTGCTCGAATCGGCGGCGGAGGCTGCGATTGGGGCACGGCGGTGTTAGGCAAGGGAAGGAGATCATGGCAGCTTAGAGGAGGGTGTTTCGTGAATGTAGCTTACTTTTCCTTTGCGATGCGGTCGCTGCTCATGCGTTCGCGCGCATCGTTGATCTTGCCCATGACATACTGCGTCACGACGTAGCCTGCGCCGACGACACCCACGCTGACAGCGAGGGGCGTCCTATTCCGGCGAAACCATCGCCGAGTGGCTTCCAACATGGTTCGGTCTGGCAAGGCGAGCGACTCGACGTCCGAGGGGTCGGCCTGTTTCTTGATGAAAAGGTAAAGTACGATATGGAGTATGGTAGAGGGGAATGGAGGGAATGGATCAGAAGGATTGAAGTTTAACAAAGAATGCGAGAATGGCGAAAAGAACCCCGATTGGAGCTTTCGAACCGGGTTAAAGAGTTAGAGAATCGAAAACAGCGGTCGTCTTGCTTGGGGAATCATATGGAAAAAAGAAGATTGGGAGATTTTTTGCCTATTAAACCCCCCAAATTTGGCTATCTGGGCGAGCTCTAGGAAGGCTGGTCGGCACGTAATGATAAGTTGGAGCAATTAAGCCCACCAGGAGGAGAGGAGCTCGCGCCTGACAGCCAGTGACTGGCTACTGCGCTCTGCGAGTCGTGAACCGTGATTACCTCGGCCCAGCCACACCCACGTTCCCGCGTCATCTCAATTTAATGCCCGTGTTCTCAACTCTCTTCCCCCAACAGCTGTGGCTGAAGTGCCGGTACCGCAGCCGCCGCCGCATCGAGCGCTTCCTCGGCGGTAGTGTACATCACTGCCCACCCTTGCTGCCCGCCACCAACGACTGCCCAAGTATCCTGAATACCTTACCATATGGACTGCTACTGCACAAGGCTATGGACACTCTACTCCCCAGGACCCAGCTCGGGGAACTGTGAAGTACCTTTCCCAAACCAGGAAGAGTACCCCTGCTACCGATATCCCGTCCTCCCCCCCGCCTCTCTCCCTTCCCTCCCTGGATAAACACTGCGGTAGTGACTCCCCGCTCTCTTCTGCCCGCCCGCCCCCTTATCGGTGCGGCGCATCAGTGCTGGGCTGAAGTGTGCCCCTCAGTACATCTGACACCTTTCTTTGGGTCATTCCCTGACTTTACCTCAGGCAGAGGGAGAGAGTATCTGTGACTCTCTTTCACGCCAACCGCATCTGTCTATCTGACAACCAACTCACCTGAACAAAATACCGTAATCGAGAAAAGGCACGATGCAGCAGAGCAGCGCTCCAGAGTTCATCCTCGAGGCCTTTGCGGACCCGGCCTCCGTACGGGATGTCGTCAAAGGTACCCGTCATCTCTCTCCCGTTTCCCCCGTCTCCCCGTCCCCCGTCCTCTTTCCCATAGGTAGCCCGCAGTTCGCGTGCGCCCCGCCAGACGTCATATCCGCCTCAAAACGAACGACAACACCTTCCGCAACCTCTCAGCCTCGCGATGCGACGGGCGCCTGCCTTACCTGGACCCCCTTCCAAAGCGCAAAACCCAACCCATGCAAAACAAACCCATACTTGTCATAGTGATGGCCCTCGAACAGAAATAAATGCTAATTATCGTCACCGCGATACAGGAATCCTCCACACAATCTTCTTCCACCGCTTCTTCCCCGCCGTCGTTCCCTACACCCGCGAGGTCCTAGACCTGACCCTACCCTACGTCGACGACGTCGAGCTTGAGACCATGATCGAGCAGCGCGCCACCGCCCTCGTCCGCCAGCTCGACGCGGAGCGCTCCTCGTCCAGCTCCGGCGGCGGCGGCGGGCGCGGCCAGCTTACCGTTCAGTTCTTTGAGAAGAAGCGTCGCAAGGCCTGGCTCATGCGCGGCGACGAGGAGGTCTGTTGGGAATGCTGGACTGTAAAAGTCACGGTTGCGGAGCCCAGGACGGAGACTGGTTTGTCTACCTTCCCTTTTCCCTCTTGCCCTCTTTTGGCAACCCGGTAGAGAGGGGTGGTGTTGTGTGTAATCGTGATGGAAGCACTAGAGGGACACACAAAGATGAAAGGCTGACCGTTGCCGGTGAAACTTTTCCAGAGCGAGCCAAAGTCCGAAAAGCCATGGAGACGACGCTCATGACCACCGTCATGAAGGTCATTACTTTCGTCAACGCGCACAAGGATCATATCCCTCCGATAACGACGCAGGGGTCGAACCCGTTTCCCTACCAGATCAACATTAACCAAAAGGAGTCGGGGTGGGCTACGAGGATGGGTATTTACTAACTTTGCGCATTCGGGGCGACGACATTGTGAAACTGTAATGAGATGTTTTGACAAGATGCCTCTTTTTTTTTTTTTTTTTTTTGGAGGATTTGATACGGATTTTTGTATGGTCTTTCCATGTTTGGCTTGGGGACGACGACATCAACGAACCTAGGATGAATATGGCGACGCTGCTGGCAGATATCGTAGAGGGTTGTATACACATTCAGGCGTTCTGGGAACAAGGCATGATTCACGAGGCATAGACATGTAGGAAGGATATTGGGGAAATTTAGAGCAAGACAATATGATACCCGTTCTTGAGTTCCAACATTGGAGACTGCAAGGGCACGCATAGGAGATGATGATCTTGTTAAACGTGCACAACACAGTACAGTCGAGAGCCATGCTGGCTAGAATATACCTCAAGGGACTCAAGTAGTCTCTTCAATGTACCTGTTCCCACATAAAAAGCTGTGCAACCAAATGCATGGGAATACAGACATTCTACAAGACATTCACGGCAGGCATATCATATTTGACATCATCAACAACATCTGCGAGAAGGATCTTCTGTTTAGTGCGTGTTTCCATAGAATTGATCACTACCAGTGTGCTTAGCAAAAGGAGCGAAGCTAATACGCTACACATCCAACCCGGATTTTCCTACACAGCAAGAAAGACAACAACAAAATAGCCTATTCCGGCCAAACAGCAATAAAAAGCAAAAGCGAATCTCGAGCCGAACCTAACCTGGTCCAAGGCCGACGAAAGCAAAAGCAAAAACGCGCAAGAATCTCATGGTTTCCTCCGTGACTCTCAAGAATGATGATGTCCCTTCGCTTTCCCCCCTTTGCCCACCGGAAAGAAAAAAAAGGAGAGCCAAGACATTATATGTGCACTGCTTCGTCATTATCATAAAGCAAACAATCATGGACAAGAGAGTTGTGAAAGCCTCGAAGCCCGAATCAGACATTAGTCTTTAAAATCAGCCCAAAGTTTTTTGTGTTTCCCCCGCGCGCTCCATTATCGTGAGAAGTGTGTCGAAACAGGCCCTGAATGCCTGAATGCATCGGGACGTCATGCCAGTAAGTGTGTTCATACATCGTAACGGTCGTCATCGTCTCTCGTTGCAACAGATTAGAATTGCGTGGTGTAGCTTCGTCCAAACGCAGGCTTGCTGGGCTTGGAGCCGGAAGCCTTGGGCTGGGAGCCAGAGCCAATCTTCTCAAAGCCTTGCAGGATGTCGAGACCCGAGTACTCGGTGGTCTCCTCTGACAAGAAGTCTGTCGTGTCAAAGGAGAACGAAGGCCAGTCACCCTCGGCCGCTACCTCGTAGAATGAACTAGATATCTTGGTCGGCGAGGGGAATCTCCATTGCACAGCAGCGTCGTTGTTGGCCTTGATAGGGGAGGACAGGCCGTCAAAGACCTTGCTGGGAGTCTCCCACATGGCGGAAGGTTGTGCGGGTGCCTTCAAGAAGGGCGTTGAGAGAACCGACTTGTTGCCGTTACCCGAGTCATGAGTGTCGGCCAAGGCATTGGCAGAGTGAGTGCGCTCCAGACGGGGTCGCTTTCCACCAGACTTCTTGGAGGGAGACTCTTGAGGTAGACCGTCGAAAAAGTCGTTGTCCATGTCTTGGAAGATGTCAAAGTCACCGGCGGCCATCAGGTTGTAGTTGTAGACGCTCTCGTCCAAGTTGAAAGCGGGGCTCCATGGAGCGTTGCCGTCACCGGTGCCGACCATCTTGCGGATCGGAGACTGCAGCATCTGGCGGACATTTTCGCGGTGCTGGCGAAGGTTGGTGTTGGGCGAGGCAGAAGGCGGGGCCTTGGTAGGCGGCTTCAGTTTCATGGCTGGCGTGAGCGGTGGCAGCATCTGCCCTTGTTGGCGGAGCGGCGATGAGGATGGTGGGGCGAACGCGTTATACGACCGACCCTTGCTAGGGCTATCGTAAGACGACGCGCGCAAGCGAGCAATCTCATCCTCGGCCCTGCCAGCGCGACTGCGCTTACGAGGGCGATCAGCCTCTGAAGTAAGAATGCCAGTCTTTTGCGGGCGCAACGCAGAGGATTCGAGAGACGAGATGTAACCACTGTCGTCCATGGACGCGAATTTTCTCTTGTGAGATCTGGTGATGGACGACATAGGTCCGCGGCCAGGCGGAGGAGGCGTGCGGCTGCGGGGCTCCATGTGCCGCGGAATTGGCGGTGAAGAATGCATCGTAGGCGGCAGAGGAGAGCATTCGTTGTCCAGCTTATCTTGTCCATCTTCCGGTGCGGCCGAGTCCGAGACAGGAATGGTGGCATCAGATGAGAACTCAACGGCAACGGTGGCCTGTGAAGTAGGCAGAGGCGGGAGCGTCGTCGCATGCCTGATCGGCGCAGGAGGCGGAAGGGTCGGCTCCTGGATCGGCATGTTGGCCGGCCTCGAGGGTTCCATTCGGGTTGACATGACAGGCACGTTTTCGGCGGTCGCTGCCGTCTTTCTTGCTGGCTTGTCTTTCATGAATTGTTGCTCCATGCCCTCCTGGATCGTCCAGTAATTTCCCTTGCCAGGGTCGTCCTTTGGTCGTTCCACCTTAATGAAGGCTTTGTGAAGGCTGAGGTTGTGCCGAATGCTGTTCTGCCATCCCGATTCCTCCGCCTTGTAAAACGAGTACGTGTCTGAGATCCACTTGTAAATTTGTGCGAGTGTCAGGCGTCGCAGTGGTGATCGAAGAATTGCCATCCCAATCAAAGTCGCGTAGCTGTGGCCTGGTTTCGTCCCATCGTCGACAATTGGAGGGAAAGAGTCGTGGGGTGGAAGACCAGACTCGTCGGCCTTGACCTTCTTTAGAGGTCGTGATTCCTTAATCGGCGCAGCCTCCATCAATGTGCGCTTGCCGGGTCCCTTGTGCATGTAAAACTGATCGAAGTTGATGGTCGGTGGCGCAGGATACAACTGGGGGTGAACGTTCTCTTTCCCAAAGCCGGCAGCCAAATCCACAGAAGGCGGCTTCTGTGCGACGGTCTTGAACTTGGATAAGTAGGGCTTCTTGTGTAGCGAATCGGTGTTTTGGTTGTTTGCTGATGGTGGCGCCATTGGCACCATATTTAACTTGCTGCCCTGGGACTTCAACGGAGCATGGTGCGATCTGATGTTGCCTGATGATGCCTTGAGAGGTGAGTGCCTGTCGGATGCGAGCATCGGAGGGTTGAGGACGACGTTGTTGGTACTTGTTGCGCCAAGCGGCCTCCTCGGTGGCTTGGAGGCGGCAGGCATGGGTGCGTGGTTGATCATTGTTGTCGAGTTCTCGAAAAAGTCGTCTTGGTAGATTTGCAAAGGCTCATGAGAGCCGGTGTAGCGCGTGGGTTTGGCCATGTCGGCCGATTGTAGCTGGATGATGTCGTCTCCAAACCTGCGTCAAGTGCGTTCGCGGCAAGTAGTGGGCTGTGGGAGGGAGGGCATGTCAGCGAGCCGCAAAGGCATAAGGTTAGATAAGTAGTTGACGGTGTGGTCTTGACTCTGTCAACCTGACAGGGCCCGGCTTCAAGGTTCTTGAACCCGAACGGGGTTTTGCATGATTGAAGGGAGGAGAAGGAGAGAGGAGACTCAAGGCTCACCTAGGTCGGGTCTAGACTTTGGAAATGAGTTGTGGGTCGTGAATGCAAGGGGGCCTTTTGGCGGTCAAATTGTAAGTTTAGCGACGGGATCGCTGGATCGACACGATGCGATCAGGCAAGCGATGGCGATATTCTGCGAAGAGTGGTGCCCGACAGACAACGTTGAAGAGCGACGACGATGCTGTGCGAAATCGATAATGCGCGATGGGGTGTGAGTGTGAGTGTGAGTGTGTGTGAGAGCGAGAGAGAGAGTCAGAGGAGAGCAGCAGGCGAGGGTGAGGGTGAGGTATGGCTTATGGCTGCAGAAAGGTGAAAAGAAAAGAGGGGATATCAGGCACGATACCACGCGAGGGAGAGGAGGGTAGGTAAGATGTAATAGGCGAGCCAGCGGCAGCGGTGGTAGTGGTGGTGGTGGTAGTGGTAGTGGCAGCAGGCGTGCGTAGGTCAGAGCAGGTAGTGAGGAGGAGGAGTAGGTAGAGCAAAGTGTGGGAGTCGGCGGCAGAAGGATGGATAGATGGATTGATTTCAGCCAAGGCGAGTGGAGAGGACCGGGATGTCTTTGAAGAGGTGGGCGGCCAGCTCAGCAAGCCCAGAGATGTCGGGTGGGGCCTCTGGAGCACGGGAGGAATGGGCGATTGGACGAGAGGAGCGTGGGCTGTGACACGACCGACCAGGCTAGGGTACGCCGAAGTGGCAGCAAGGGTGTGTAGTGTAAAGGACCTCCGTAGTCTGGTTAGATGCAGGGAGTGTAATGGAGCAGGTGTGTGTGGTGTGCGCGAATGTGAGTGAGTGTGAGTGCGAGTATGAATGTGCGTGTGCTTGATATCGTCCGGGGTGCGATGGCATAGGCATAGGCATAGGCACAGGCACAGAAGGTAGCAGCATGAGCAGCATGCATGGATGATGGGTATGGACTATGGATTAGTGTTAAGTGTGAAGAAGGTGGAGGAGCATCATGGATGGGCGATGATGGGATGCACGGCAAGGTCGACCGTTTGCTGGAACACGCCGTCCCGAAAAAAAAGAGGTCGAAGTTGGAAGCCAACCGTCGCCGAGCGGGAGAGCGATCAGAAAGAAGTGCGCACACTTGGGTTGGCAGAGACCTGAAGTACCGGTAGACAGTAGTACATAGTGCAGTCCACAGTCTGTGTAAGGTATCCGAAGATATACTAGGTGACTAGATACTAAGGTAGATAAGGTAGAGAGCTGCTCGCATCCGGGGTCGGTGCCCTTAGCCGTCACCGTTTGGTTTCTGTCAGGCGCGGAGGATGAGGAATTGCGTTTGTCTTTGCGCGTTTGCTTGGGCCACGCCGTCGAAGAAAAAGAGAGGGTCAAGTCAGCCAGGTCGCTTGAAGTCGAACAGACTTTCACCCGGCTCCAGTTCAGGTCGAAGTTCAGAAGGGAACCGACTGAGGA